ATAAAAAAAATGATTCGATTCTCAGTAACAGGTTCTCGTAAATGACGCAGTCACAAAAATTTGTTCCTGCAAAATTAATTAATGTTCGGTATATGTACAAATAATGTTCGGATGAAAAATTGGATGGATTACCCACGGATCATCCTTTGAAACCACCAGTGAAAGGTTAATCGAATTAATATTTCCCGTATAATATCTTCGATCTCTAACAAAATGTCTACTACTTAAACCAACGAAATATTACAAGCACAAAGGGAAACGATATACTATTTAATCTAAACGAAGGAAATTTAAATTTAATTCGCAAAAATCATCGTTCTCGACGGAATTTCAAACTGGCCGCGTTGGCACGCGAAATGGCGCACGGATTGCTCGACAAAATGGCGTCGTGTCCGCCAAACGAAAGGAACCGTTGTACATTTGAGAGGCAGTTACGAGTGAAATGAACAGGCGTTTCGTTCTAATTTCGCGTCTCTGCCATTTTCGACGGGTGCAAGTGTGGGTTTCTTTATATGTGTGTGTATGTGTCACGATTAAAAAATTCACGCGATACTCGCGACACGCTCTCGACAGTGGCACGCGCGCAGTCGCTGGAAAACGACGAGGATTCGGGACGGCGTGGGTTTTGAAAAAAAAAAAAGTTCGCGTTAGTAGGAAATGCAAATGGGATCGTATCCCCTTGATTCGTATCCGGTTTAAAACAGCCGTCATTTTTCTGCTGTAAAAATATTTTTCGTATTTTCGTTGCGCCAACACCGGGCGCGAAAATTATTATATAAAAAGAATTAAAATCCTTCTCGTAAAGTCCTGTGGACTATGGCCGTGTTACAATTTCTTTTCATTTTTTCTTCTTTGTTTTTTTTTTTTTTCAATATACATTATTTTTTCCTTTTTTTTTTTTTTTTCGTTTTTTAGGTGTATGCGGATTTTTATGATGGGAATTAAAATATATCAGTTTTTAACGACTTCTGAAAGTACGACTTTTGAAATTTGGGGGGAGGGGGGACAAGGGAATTTTTTTTAAAATTGAAAATTGAAAATTATTATTTAAGTATTGCATTTGTATACTTAATTTGGTCCTTTTACAATTGTTTCGCCATGGAAATCGAAAGAAGTTCTATAAAATTTTATTTTATTTTTCTTCTTTTTTTCTTTTTTTTTTTCTTTTTTTTACAACTTGAGTTGTAATGCAATATCAATAAACGATCACCACCAAAAATCCATAATACACCTTTCTAATCGAACATACCCGCTTTAATCTAAAAAAAAAAAAAAGAATCTGCGAATTTCGAACGCTTTTTCCACCCTTTTAAATTTAAAATTCGAATCATCTCTCGAAAATCGACATTCTCTGCGATAATCCACAAGACGCAACGAGATCTCTATAAAAAAAAAAAAAAGAACAAAACGAAGCCTAAGAGCGAGTAAAAATAAACACATCGAAAGAATAAAAAAAATCATCGAATGGTTAAAAAAAAAAAGGAGAAAAAAATAGAAATGACAAAAAAATACGTTACAAATAGCGAAAATTACTTCTAAAAAAAAAAAGAAGAGAGAGGAAGGGGGAAAAAAAAGAAAAATTAGAAACACACCGCGTGCGAGGGTAACTTTTGTTACGTGTGCAAAAACGGAAAAAAAAAAAAATGGAAGGAAGGGGGAAAAAAGGAGAATAAAAGATGAAAGGAAAGAAATAGACGGAGGTCGGCAGAGGGTGGGAAAAAAACGAAAATCTGGAAAGAGAAGAAAGAGGGAAAAAAAAAAATAAATTGCAAAATCAGAGAAAGAGAGAGAGAAGAAAAGGGAAAGAGAGGAAAAGGAGACACAAGCGACACACACGTGGATGTACGCGGATTCCGAACGCATCCTCCAACGACCGCATACGGCGTATACAATATTCAAAAGTGCTTACAAATATATAACATATGTATATATAAGTGTATATATGTATATATACATATATTATATAGATCGTATAGATCGTTACAAACATGATAAAAGGAAGGTACAGAAAAATGAAGCCGGCCGCGGGGCGGTCATCATCGATAAAAGTCAACCAAAAAAATATTCTCGTGTGTAAAAATACCGATAATCTTCTCTCGTATCGTTTTTCTTTTTCTTTCTCGCTTTCCCTTATATTATCCAGAGAATTACCATTATACATTCTCTCTCGCTCTCTCCTTCTCTCACTCTTAAACTATCTTGCTCCGATATGATTTCAGCTAAATTAGCATTCTCTCGCGTCACTTCGACACCCGTTTTTCTCTCTATTCGGTGAAAGAAATTTAACTCGCAATCCAACTCGTTGATCACACGTAAGAAATCCTCTTCGACAATTCTATTCGATTCTTTTAATTAACCTCAAAAAAAAAAAAAAGAAAAAGAAAAGAAAAGAAAAGAAAAAGAAAAGAAAATAATACAGAGGGAGGAAAATCATAAGAATAAATAAGATTGAGATAAGGCGATAATAGATAATGAGAGGAAAAAAAAAAAAGTAAGACGAAATAATAAGAAAAGCATTACACGTTAGAAAGAAAATTTCCAAGGTGACAAAGGTTTGTGATCATTTGCTCGTCTCTTTCTCTCTCTCTCTCTTTCACGCTCATCCTTCTCAATGTCTCCTCCTACTGAAAACGAGCTACCTCGTTAATACCCATGTAATTTTTTATTGAACGACTCGGATCGCTTTCTGAAATACCAATAATATCCCTAAATCGATCGCCGTGTAAAAAGTATTCTCACCCGATACCTCTGTTTGGAAAAAATAAAAAAAATAAAAAAAAAAAAAATTCCTTCGTCTCGTCGACAAGAGAACGCATCATCAGCTGACGAACAGGCACGGGGGTACAATCGTTCGACAATCAGGACGAACTTACGTGTAGAAACAAATAGATCCGTCGTCGCGCGCAATTGACGGGTGTTCGGCCAATGTGATTTTCGGGGTCGGGGGATGGGGAGGAGCACGATGGCGAGAGATATATCCTCTTTCCTTCTTCCATTTTCTTTTCCCTTTCCTGCTTTTTCCTCCACGCTTTCTTCCTTCCTTTTTATCTTGCTGCTACTGCTGCTGCTGCTGCTGCTGCTGCTGCTGCTGGCTGCTGGTCAAGTTTTTTACTCGGCGGGGATGGTAACGGGAGATTTTTCGTTAGCGGGTGTGTTTGGTCGGAAAAGTGTCTCAGCCGAGGCCGGCCCATTGCATGAAATCGGGTACCTCTCTCACAGGAACATCCCTGGCAAGAGCCTTCACCCTCAGGTTCCTGTCCTCCGTTAGCAGCACGACCTCCCTTCTCAGTCGTCGTGGCTGGCCCTCTTCTGCTCGAAGAAAAATTCGTGGATCGTTTAATCCTCCGTTTCTCCGAAGACGTCCGTTTTGGGGACCAGAAAGATTTTTGGGAATTCGTGTATAATATTCGTAATAAGGTAAATTTGTCAAGTAGAAATATGAAGCGTGTAAGTAAATTGAAAATTTTAAATTTGAAATCCAAAACCTAAAATAACAAGTTGGAGAATTGAAATTGAAAAGAAATTTTGAATTATTCAATATCGAAACGCGAAAGTGGAAACGGCACAATAATTTGGCGAACATAATTCATAATTAATGAAATCGAGGTCGTTCTCACGAATAATTAGTAAATCGATAAATTTCGGTTCAATAAGGAGACGAGAAAAAGTAAGGAGCGTGTCGACGACGATAACGGTTAAATCCCCGGTCAGATTGGTCAGAGGCGGATATTAATCACGATCAAAGCGTCGGAAAACGGTTGAAACGTGTTCAGGATACCTTCCAAGAGGAATATGCGCGATGGCGCGTCGTACGTACCTGCATTCGCTTGATCTTTGTTACCCGCCTTGCAGAGGCTCAAGCACGTAGCAAGTATTCTGTCATCGTTTCTTGTCAGCCCGTCCTGCGACAGAATTACAGATGTTTCTGTTTATTATTTTCATGAAATGACACGCGACCAACCATCGCGGGAATTTCAATTGGCGGCGCCTCTGTGCCATCTTACGTTCTTGGATGGGGCTTGATAAACTTGCAGAATTTGCATAAGATTGTTGTTGCGTCTTATTTTAGGAAAATTGAGTTAAGTTAAAACAACGTGATGAATGTATTGGGAAATTTTTTCGTAGATAGAATGTATCTCGATATTTTTCTCCTCTTCGGGAGAATTTTTTGGAAATCTTTTTAATTATAATTTCTTCTTTTTTTTTTTTTTTGTGTGATATCGAAGGATTAAAGAAAATCAAGGCTCCATCCAATTCATCATTTTCGCGAGAAAATTCACTACTTACCTTATCAACATCCTCTTCTACCGTGAACGTGCTGGACGTAAGGACAGTCCCTCTCGTGGTTAAACATCGAATCGCTGGATTTCTGCTTCTTGCAAATGCCAAAGCCGCTTTCGCGCTCTCAGCCACTCTTGCCACATGTTCCGGATCCAAAGTTGCCCTCGAAGCTGGAGGGCAATCTCTGGCGTCTGCACCCCTTGCTAGGCCCTCGAGCTCGTTCAGAACTGAAACAAAAATGCATAACATACCCGATTAAATATAAACAAGACGAGGCATATAATTGAAAATAATTTGATTAATAATTACACTTCAAAGAAAGAAATATTCGTTTTTAACGAGAAATTATTAAATTTTACACGCTCGTTTTTTCGTCCATTTCTCTTCCAATTCGAAAAAACATAATTTTATGATGTCGCGACATCAGTCGACGTTTAATAATATTCAGTTTCGCAGCGTTGGAAATATAGGAATAATTTTCGAGTGTCTCTGACATGTCGTAATTGGACTGTCGACGAAAATACGTGGCAGAATTCCACGCATTTCTCTTTCCATTGTCCGTATCTAGATTCTAAATAAAATAATTTCTACTTATTTTATATATAATGAACACGAGACACTTCTTTTCTCTGTTACCACGTCCAATTTGCGACCAAATATATTTTTACCCCATTGTACCACGAAAGATGGTAAAAAGAAAAAGAAAGAAAAAAAAATATAAAAAGTATTAGACCTACAAAAATATAATTTACACGGTATAAATGTTCCAAACATTTTTCTGACAACTTCAACCTCCCTCGTGAGAACATTCCACATTCACAATTATTTGAGCTTTTGACAAATAAAAAAAGTAGATTAAAGCCAAAAAAAAAAGAAATTCCAAGTCATCAGACGGTCCAAGAAACTTTGCCCTCCGCGAAAAGCACAAATAAATTAATTTCGAAACGGAGAAAGTAGAGGTTGGCCTTCAACCATTTCGCGAAGAAGAGAAGAAACGCGAAGGGGAAAAGCACCCTTCCTCTAGTAGCTCTAATAAATTGTACCCAATGACATTCGATCCACCACAAAGAATCTACGGGTAGACATGTTTTTCTGTCTCGAACCATTGCCTGCACGTGTTCCCTATGCACAACAACCTCTATCTCTGTTGACTCGAACCAAACTTCTTGAAATCCGATAATCGAATAAGAACGATGAAAAAAAAAAAAACAGTCTCCAACAGCAAACACAACGCCGCCACCCATTTGAGACATTTTCAAGTTGGAGAGTCAGCGATATTTGGTATGCATTAGCTTTATCCTCTTGCCTAAGGGTAGATTTCGCGAAGATTTACTCGATTCTTCCAATTTGTATTTTAAATTAGACGAGTTGAAGAGGGGGAAAAAAATTACATTCTTGCAGATTCTTTATCGTTCGATGTGTTTTCATTTAATAGAAAAATGATTTTTTAAGATTTTTCTCATCGTAACTCTTTACGAAATATTAACCATTTTAAAAAGCAAAATTTCCAACATAAAAGCATGAAATGCGAAATTTACGAGAAAAAAAAAACATTTGTCAAGGAATTACAAAAAATTCATCAATCAAAATTTTAAAAAATAATCGTGTCATCATATTCATAGTAACAGATTTGTATAAATAAATTATCTAGGGCATCTATTCTTTGCCCTATTCTTATTCACCGATCGATGGTAAACCAATGGTCAAAAATAAATTATAGCCAATATTCGAATAGAACAGAAGATTTAGGACAAACAAAAAAGGAAATAAGCAGTTTCGAAATTTAATTTTTTCCGAAATTATCGTGTTGCAAATAATTCTCTTTACAACAAGGAATCATATAATCCATATTATATGCTCTTTTGATCATAAATATTTAAATATTTTAAATTTTGAATATTTTGTAATTTTTTTTTAATAATATATTTTGAGTTTTACGATGAGTTACGTAACAATGATTAATAAATCTTTCTATTGATGTTCGAATAAACATGTCCAAGTATAAATAACGTGTCAAAAATACGATATTTTATATTGGAAAATTGTAAATTTACTTACCTACAAGTGGTACCATAAGCGTGTAAATTGGCTGCGCACCGGAAACCGCCTTCGTGATATTTTGCAATTGCGGTAAGTAGTCGATAAAGCAATTAGTATCTGGCACCAGTTGTCTAGGTCTCACTTCGATTTCCACTGATACTGAAGACTTTTGTAATATTTGCTGAAACATACACAAATATCATCGTAAATCTTTTGTCCTCTAATATAATATATGTTTTTCTTAATTTAAAATTCATTTAGAAATACCGATAATTTGTTGAAGAAGAAAACAAAAAAAAAAAAAAATTAGAAATTCGATTATTTCTTATTTCTTCATTCCTTTCGTTCTTACGAGGCTCTCTTTTACCGACTGATCTCATTTGTTCAAAGATCGAGAAAGACGCGGAATTGGAACGTATTGTTATCCAATTGAATCTCACATGTGCGTCACAGAAAACAATGGCGGCATAAGCCAAGCAACCATTGTTACAGCGAAGATTATAAACGTAATGAGCTCTTTAATGTTACTTTTATTTTGTAGGACGATGATCGATAGTAAATACGTTGTTTGCCCCGATAGATAATAGTCTTTGTAAAACGCAAAATATTTTAAATATGTTTCTTTTTTTTTTTTTCATCATTTACGTTGAAATTTTTTTACCTACAAAGTAACGTTCAACGATTGATCAAATATTTCATATGTCTTACGATCAATCTAACCTGGTTTACTCTATTGCGCATGCGCCAATATTAGGAATGAGATAGATAAACAGAGCGAGACAGAGATTGGTTAATCGTTTAATTTGAAACTAATTCAAATATAATTATTATCCAGACAAATTCGAAACTTGATTTTCCTAACTTATTGATTTATTTTATATATTCGCAACGAATATATCCTGATAATAATTTCTCGAATAATCTACGTAATATCTCGAAAATATCGTTTGCCATTTTTTTCGTTGATCGAGACAGGATCGAATGAAAAAAAGCGCGCGAAGAATTCAACTACGTTTGATTATCGAGTTTAATTGTTCGCGAAAATACACGAACGGAATGAAAAATCGTGCGATTTTGTCACTGAAACGTCACACGATATAATCATCGAGATACACGTTTTGGCACGAAAGATGTATCATGTGTATCCAATTCCTCATAGGAATAATTTATCTTTTCCACGATCATTTACAGAGTAGAAATGTACACGTAACGAACATCGAGAATAAATCAACGATTCCAAGGTTGACTATACACTCCATTTTAACTTTAGTTTCGTAAAGTTAGTAAATCCCTACGAATTGTCAATCCATCGTTTTTTGTAGATCGTAAAAATCGAAATTATTCACCGCGGCGAGGAATGGCGTCTGCATGACGATGCATAATGAACGAACATCGTTGAAAATCGTCTCGCGACGGTGATATTACGGATTCGTAGGTATTTCGAACGGCAGTGAATTCCGGAATGTTGGCTTTCCTCGGGTCCGCAACGGGTACACGCAATACATGATAATTAGGCGCGGAACTGAATGCCTCATCGAGACGTAAGAGGATTACTTCTTCGTTTCGTAATTGTATGACACAATAACGAGAAGTAACGAAATCAAACGAGGTCGATCGATTTTGTATAAAAATACCAATACGCAAATAATCTCTTTTAATACACGCTTATCGAAACTTGTATAATTTTATCTTTAAAAAGTAAATTCATCGTTGTATATTTTCACAAAATAACAAAAATATTAACGCGTTGTATGAATTCGCGCGTTACAGAAAATCCACATACGAGAACTTCTCTGCAATACGAATTTCATCATACCAACAATTTCTTTTTAAATATTTTTTATAATCGAAAAATGAACATCAACACTTTCTATCGATGTCATCACTTAATCTTACATGGCACGCATTTCACGCTTTTGTTGAGAAAATATACTTTTTTTCCGAAACCCTCCCTCCCGTTCTAAAAATTAACCGTATCTCCCCGTTGGCGTGCGTTCGTGAAAGCACGCGGCAACAGGCCGAGGCGAATACCTCGGTGTGTACATCGAGCCTGTATGTAAATCGACAGCCGCGTTTTACCCCCGTTTAGACTTATTCGCGAATTCCTAAACGAATCGGGCGCGTACCGTTGTCGCCTCCGTCCTCGTCACTTTTCCTTCGTTCCGCCCGCCCCCCTCCCTCCACTCGAGCACGAGTGGCGCGTGAGAACCCGCCTTGAATCACGCACCGCGCGGCTCCGACGCCCACGCATATTAAGCGTGCCTCTAGCCACATTGTAAATGTTCCATGCTGACGCGGAAACCTACTCGCGTCACGTTAAGGACAGGTTCACGGCTCGAGAAGGAAGGAAAGAGTGCTGAAGCCTCGGAGGGAGAGAGAGAGAGAGAGAGAGAGTCGCGTGGAACAGCAGACAACTGCGATCGCGCGAATTCTACCTGTATAAGAGGCGTTCCGAGAAGTTGGGCGAGTTCGTGTCGGTTAGGTGCGGTGGGATCGATCACGATGGATTGATAAAGCAAATCTGAAAACGGATTAGCGATTTTTCAACGAATTAACGATCCTCAAATTTTAAGGATTTTCAGGTAGGTAAAAGTTTGTCTACTTCGACGCTGTATATTCGTTATCCATCCGTACGCGAAAAGTACAGTTCAGTGCGAACACGAGAGATCGTAATTTTAAACGTTATCAATGGGAAATCGTTAAGAAAGATTATATAGAGGAGGATTGTAAAAGTCTTTCTAAAAAAANAGAGAGAGAGAGAAGAATAAGTAAG